GTTCCCACTGAATTCAGGAAGAAGACATGGTTAGTTTCAAGTTGACAGTAGTTTGACAAACATTTCACAACATTCATGAATCTTTAACAACTGCATAATATTTTTAACCACATAGTATTTGTCTTTTTACTTTATGCTTCTGGCATTTCATTATTAGCATATAGACATGCAACTGATTTCTGTATATTAATCTTGATCCTGCAACTGTTAGAGCAGGCAGACAGCTAGATATGAGCAAAGAAAGGGGGACACAGACCAAATGGCGGGAATTAGCCAGAAAGGAGGGGCTCAGGCCAAATGCAGGAAACCACACATCATGTAAGCAGCAGGGATCCTTGGGCAGAGAAAGAAAAGCAGGAACTTTGGGACTGAGAAGGGATCCTGTTTTTTGGGATGACAAGTGTCCTGGAGAAGAACAAAGAGGTGAGAAAAGGCAGGAATTTAGTGTCAGAATGTAACCTTTTGCTCATTATGCCCTCATTTCAATAAAATTGCCTTGCAGATCAGAAGTCTCCATCATGTCGAGACGCCATGACATTTCTGATCCACACTAAATAAGGACAAAAATCCCTCCTCCCTTTGGGAAGATGGAGTTGGTATGACAATCAGGGAATATGACCCCAAACCCTTCCCTCCCCAATGAATATTCTGCCCATTCATTTTTACACCCTATGTAGCTAACTTGCCAAAGAAACTCAGGGCAGCCGCTCACCTGAGCCTGCCCGCTCTCCCCTGAGAGTGTACTGTCCATCCTTTAATATCCTCACTTTACCTTTTTTAACCACTACGTCTTATCTCTGAAATCTTTCTGGGACGGGGCAAGAACCTGGAACACCAGTTGCATCCATCGGCAACACAACCTTGCTGAATTCATTTATTTGTTGTAATAGGTTTGGGGTAGAGAACTTGGAGTTCTTGTATAAAGTACCATGTCATCTGCAAATAGTGACAGTTTTACCTCTTCCCTTCCCATCTGCATTCCTTTGTCTGGTTTTTTGTTTTTGTTTTTGTTTTTGTTTTTGTTTTGTTTTTTTGGTCTGACTGCTATGGCTAGGACTTCCAATACTATGTTAAACAGAAGTAGCCTAAGTAGACATCCTTGCCTGGTAACCCTAGTAACTATGAGCACTCCTAGATCCTAGATCATGATTGCTACACACCATTTCTCACTAACAGGCACCAGAACTCCTTGAAAACCGGCTCATGGAAATCAAAGAGAAACCTGGCAAGTCTCGCATCAGAAAATGAAGGTCTCAGAAAATGACAGATACAAAGGATACAAGACGCTCCATGCTATCGTGGTGGATGTACCTCGTCACGCATCTGTCAAAACCCACAGACTGCGCACCACCAAAAATGAAACCTAATGTAAACTACAGACATCAGGTGGTAATGGTGTGCGACTGCATGTGCACAGCCTGGCACAGGCGCATCCCTCCGCGGTGCTCTTTTGATGACGG